CCGATCCGGATCGCCGATTCGCCGATCCGGATCGGTTTTTTGGAAGCCCGATTCGGGTCACCGATCCGTCTTTTAAACCATTGGTCCTAACAAATAGCTTTAGAACTCCCTAGTGAACCAGCATGGAATAACAAGATGGTTTCTGTGCTTTCACATGTAACTTGGATGGTGAAGTGGAGACCTTAATGCTGGAGGTGATCAAATGTAAGAGCCTTGTCAATCACCGCTGACCAATCGAAGTAAAGAGCTCTAGGACCATGTGCGCTCCAAATTAAGTTAGTGGGGGGAAATCACTTACAACCATTTGAAATTCAAAATAAGAAGGGATAGAGAAATACCTAGGTGACGCAACAGACCAGACCAGTATTCTCAAAATGCAAGGGACCACACTCTATTATTCCCATGGATGTAAATAAACTCTAGAGATTAAGTATTTATTTTTGGCTTAGTTCAAGATAAGTTGAAAGCTCAACTTTTCACATTCCTCGAACTGTCTCTTAATTTTGGGCTCTTCATCCCAGAGGCTCCTCGTGGCTTAAAATAATCCTGTTTGAGAGTATCACGTTTGATAGCAACCATGGTGATACCAGATTAGTCTTAATTTTGATAGCAACCATGGTGGCCATGGTGACCAAAACAAATTCTTCATACCATGTATCTGTTATTCTGGCCATTGGTAAAAAGACTAGGATTCTCAATAGTATTTGAGCATGTTTATCAAAAAAAGAGATTTTTAGATGGACCCTTGAAGACTATGCTGGTAAACATGATTGACAAAGGAATACGAGATTGAATGGTGCTTCATTCTACAAATGAATCACATTGACTAGTGAGGATGTCTTTCATCCCTATTTGAAGTGGGTGCATTTGCCAATTTCCTTCTCTCTATTATATTTGCGCATGTGTTTTGTTTTATTTCCTAATCGCTGTATATCAGAAGCAGGTGCCTTAGCTAATTTTATCAGACTCAGTCCAACATTTAGTGATTCACGAACATTGCAAACCACGTTATGGAACTTCTTATGAAAATGAATTGAAATGACTTCTGGGAAAGTAGATAAAAAAGAAACACGGAATTGCCCAGATATTGTAGAGGAGATGATCACTGTATACTCAAAGTGCTGAATTGGTTAGAACATAGACAGAATGAGATTAAGGGCTATGAGAACATTCAAATCTAAATCTAGTTGGTTTTATGCCTGTGGTACGCCTTTTGTGTACTTGTTGATTGATCCTTATGCGTTCAAAGAACCTTTTTGCAATTTTGATTTTCATGCCTTTTGTTTAGATGTATGGTGGACAGCTCTTCTAAATAAAATTCTGAATTCATGATAATGCAAGAGGTTGGCTTTCTTCATGAACGAATCTGCAATACATTGGAGGTGCTTTAAACTAAAAGTAACTAATGCTAGTCTTAGATAATATCCAGTGTTCATCGTACATTATTATCTTAATTACTTCCTTCAGGTCTTTTTGTTTAACGTTTTATTACCTAGAGTTCTTCAATAGATGTCAGTAATAAAATGATTCACCGGGCTTGAAATTGAGATTGAATTTTTCTTGAAAAATCTGAAGCTCCTTTCTTCTTTGAGTGATTTATGGCATGAATATAAGATTCCTCCATCATATTGGATTGCTTTTTTATTGTGAAAATGACATGTGATCTTTTATTATTTTCTGGAACATTAAGTTATGGCTTATTTGTATGTAAGTTTGGCTTTTATCAGGGAAAACTGCTGAGTATCTTATAATATTAAGTTTTGCTCTGTTTCATTTGTCTAGGTTACTCTTTGGATTCTATATCGTTGAGAGCAT